GGCTGGGGATTCGAACCCGCCACCTTAGGTGTACGTGGCTGGCGCCTTAGCCGGTTGAGCTATAGGTGCCGAGCCATCTTTGGAGTTTTTAAGATTCCCGATGGCCAAGCCACACCCCAAACCAATGAAATTGGAATTTCTTGCCACGGAGACCAGGTATAGCATTAAATTTAAGAACCAGTGACTTCATCGCTGATGCTAAGGTGCCTTTATCAGCGTGGCCTACCATGGACTATGAGTTCCAGAGCAAGAAGGACCATGTGCATCTCACTTGTAACATCCCACATGGGCCTGGGCATGTAGCCAATGTTTCTGATGATGACAGAATACCTCACTCTGTTCCCCACCACAATGCCCAGCTATTTTTTTGTTATTGTTGTCTTTGTTGTTTAGCAGGCTTGGGCTAGGTTTGAACCTGCCGGCCTCAGTGTATGTGGCTGGCACCCTAACCACTCTACAGGTGCCGAGCTATACCCTGTTTTTCTAAGCCAGTTCCCTGAAGGTGTGTATTTAGGTGGGGATGAAGTATGCACATGCCATTCCCCAGCTTGCTTATTATTTTAGGGATTTAGGGATTAATTTTGTTTTCTTTGGCAGACAGTAGGCTCCTACTATAGTAGCATTTGCCAGAGGGCGCCACTTTTCCTGTATAAAAACTGTCTTCACTCATTGCCCCAGCAGAAATAACCTTGACATCTACTCATGAGCCTGGGTCTCCCACTTGCTGGGCAACAACCTTCCTCTAGCTCTATGGAACGGACCAAATCCTTTTGCCCTCTCACCTTCCATTTGCCTCTGCAGAGAGGATTCTGCTGCTATGATTTCCTAGGTTTACAGAGTGTGCAGACTTTCCAGGAGGGAAGTCCCAGCCAGACACTGCTCAGAATGCTGGAGGTTTCAGTTGGCATCTCAAGATGGACAATTAGGTGAGAGGGCTGGAAGACACACGTGAGGTGGTGTAAGTGGAGGCCAGAAGATAGAGGTTTGGGTCCTGGATCTTCTACTTATTAACTCTGAAAACTGAGCAAATTATTGAACTCAGAAGCCTGGGTTTCTTGATATTTATATGAGAATAATTCCTTCCCTCTAGGGTTTATGTGGGAATTAAATAATATAATAATGTAAATAAACC